AGATACTAAAGGTCGAATAAAATATGCTAGCCAAGGGCATCACATAGAGAGTAGCTCTCCTAATTTTCTGTATCCTCTTTCCAACTCTAAGTTGACAACTGGATGTGGGAACCACTCTACTCAAAGGTGCAAATGATTATACGGAATTTTTTAAAAGAATGAATAATTGAAAATGAACTCTATAACCAAACCAAGCATATGTCTCCGTGGAGTTTTCCAAAAGCAAATGCTTAAGAAAGAAAATAATCACTTCCTCTCTGAAGAGTATAAATTTAAAAATAGATGAAAGTCTACTTCTGCTTTTTATGCCTAGACATACATGATTTACAAAATTGCTTAGAAAGAGTTTAAATTGTGTTGAAAAGCCAATTTTAGAGATTCAGAGTTTGGTGGACTTCTGTTCCAAAGGAGGAAAAAGATTACTTGATATGCAACTTTAATTTCTTTTGTTTTTCATCTGTAAGACAGAGACCTTTGAGTGATAACTTTCTTTGAAAATTATCAAGTTACTTTCTTTCCCTTATACTAGAAATGGAAAATGATATTTCCACTTAAAAAACAACTGGTTCAACGAAAGTGATCAAAGTGGATACTTTTGCCTTGTTCTCAATCTTAGGGGAAAAGTTGCCATTAAGTTTAATGGTAGCTAGCTGTACGTTTTTGTTAACGATTTTTATCAAGTCCAGAAAGTTCCCTATATTCTTATTTTCATGAGAGATTTTATCATGAATGGGTGTTGAATTTTGTTAGATGCTCTGAATCAATTGATATAATCATATTTTTTTTCCTTCAGATTTTTAATATGGTGGATTACATTGATTGACTTACAAATATTGAACCAGCCTTGCATCCCTGGAAGAAACTCCAGTTGGTCATAGCATAGAATTCTTTTTATGTACTGCTGAATTCTATTTGCTAATATGTTATTACGTATTTTTAGATCTTATTCATGAGAGATATTCATCCTTGTTTGTTTGTTTTGGCACTATCTTTGTCTGGTTTGGGTATAATTGTAATACAAGCTTCATAAAATGGGGAATGTTTCCTACTTTCATATTTTCTAGAAGAATTTGTGTAGGAGGTGTCTTAATTTTTCAAATATCTGGTAGAACTCTTCAGGGAAACCATCTGAGCCTGGAGATTTCTCTTTTTTTAATTAAAAATTAAATTTCTTTTATATATATAAGAATATGCAAATCAGGTTTTCATATTGTGGTAATGTGTGTTTTTAAGGGAATTGACTCATCCACCAAAATAGATATACAGATGGCAAATAAGTACATGAAAAGATGTTCAACATCATTAGCCATTAATGAAATGCAAAGTAAAACCACAATGATATTTCATTTCATACCTATCTGAATGACTAAAATATAAACATGATGACAAAACCAAATGCTGGCAAGAATGCAGAGAAACTGCATCACTCACATCTTGCTGGTAGGAATGTAAAGTGGTACAGCCACTCTGGAAAACAATTTGTGAGATTCTTAAAAAGAATGCTAAACATGCAACTACCACATGATATAGATAGCAATTGCATTTCTTGGCATTTAATCCAGAGATACGGTCACACAAAAACCTGAGCACAAATTTTTATCACAGCTTATTCATAAGAGCCAATGACTGTGAAGAACCCAGATATTTTCCCATGAGTGAAGGTTTGAACAAACTGGTACATCTATACCACAGAATGCTTCTCAGCAATATGAAGGCCTTACCTACTGATAAATGCACCAACTTGTATGAATCTCCAGAGAATTATGATGAGTGAAAAACACTAATCCTCAAGTTTCATACTATATGATTCCATTTCTATAACATTCTTGAAATGACAAAATTGTAGAAATGGAGAAGAGATTAGGGTTATTAGGGCTTAAGGAAGAGGTGCAGATAGAAGAAAATTTGGTGTGGGTATGAAAGGGCAATATGAGAGATCCTTGTAGATGTTCTGTGTCTTGGTTATGTCCTGATTATATAATATTAATATCCTGATTGTGATATTGTACTATAATTTTATAAGATTACCATTGGGTGAGGGTACTCTGTATTATTTCTCACAACTGTATCTATGATTACTTTAAAATGAAGAGTGTTTTTAAAAACAAACAATAAAACAACTGGTTCAAATTAAATATGCTTGTTTATACACATCTAACTAACTGTCGGTCACTCTGATAGAGCCATGTGAAATGAATAGTCTAATTGAAGCAAAACCTTGGCACTGAATAAACTATTTTGAGTTACATTGGTTATAGTAACTTAATCATTCATTCCTAAAAATTTACATTAATGGAATGAGAACTGAGTAGTGACTGTAAGCAGTTCACTGTAATAAAGTGCATAATGGTAGTATGACTTGGATTAGCATTATTAGCTACTGTTTATCATTTATACTACCAGATAAGTTCATCTGGACATTAGGGAACTTACAATATGAAGTACTACTTTACTGTACTCATGGGTGAATGATATGCTCCATCCAATACATTTTAATATGGCTTCCCATGTACCAGGGAAGCTCAAATACTAGGTCGCGAAGGCTCCCAGAAGACAGCTATAATGAGCTGTGGTGAAAAAACAGGATGCCCTACCAGAGATGTGTAGAACCAGCCTGAGCAATATGCAAATTTATTCTTAGTAAGATTTTTGAGTACCTACTATGTGTCAGAAATTGTACAGAGTGTCTTTACACATTCAATTTCATGGCAATTCTGTGTCATGTTATAGGTGAGAGAACTAAAGTTCAAAGAGTTAAGCATCCTCTAGCTTAACACACTTATGGATTCTAGAAACTGGCCTGATTTCCTTCAGCCTTTTTTTCCAGTTAGGGACTTTTTGGGGATCCTAATGAAAATAAATATATGAAGATACTAATAATTTATATGTATGTATTTTATTGAAGTATCATTGATACACAGTCTTATGTTGGTCTCAGATGTACAACACAATGGTTCAACAGTTACCCATGTTATTAAATCGCACTCTCTCTAGTGCAGTTACTATCTATCAATGTACAAACATGTTACAGAATCATTGACTATATTCTCCATGCTATAATATTGTCCCTGTAGCTAACTTATATTGTGATACTAATAATTTTCAAGCTAGAAAACAAATGGAGCCAAACAACAATACATGCTTGGCAAATAAAGAAAAGCTTTCTCCACAGAAACCTATGACTCTTATGTAATTATTTATATATCTAAAATGCACATACTCCCCTATTTCATTTTTTCACCATTAGGAAGCCACTGAAGCAGAGGAAAAAATTTGATTGACATTGATAGTTGCCTGCGGAACACATTTTTGTGAAAAATTATAATGTCTTCTCTTTTTGAAGAAAGCATCCGGGAATTATGAAAGAGTGATAGCTGTGATGGCTAGAATTTTTAGCATATTCACCAAAAAATGCAAAAGGGGTTATATATTTCTTGAAGCTATCCCAAAAAATAGTTTGTTTTGTTCTTCTGCCATCATGTTTCATTAAGATGTTGACTGATGATAGTAACTGCACTAGAGCGGGTGAAAGTTTAATAACATGGGTAGCTGTTGAAGCACTGTGTTGTACATTTGAAACTAATGTAACATTGTATATCGACAATACTTCAATAAAAAAAGAGGTTGACTGAAGATTCAATAAGCATGGCATTAATACCACCAATTGCTCCTCAGGCTACATCTATGTGATCAAGATACCAAGAACATGGTGAAGCCAAGCAAAGACTACTCCCATCTGAGGGATCAGTGGGCATCACTGCTGGACTGATATGACAATGCGTATCGACATTGTGAGAACAGCTGCAAAGGCTTGATAGATCTGCCTGGGTGGCCATATGTAGGCTATGTCTTTGATAGCAATTCTGAATTGAAAGTTGAAAACTTGGAAAAGCATTCAGATGCTTTGTCTATACAGTACCAGAATTTCAACATTTCAGAAAACATTTTATTGTTTATATTACACATCAGCTTGATTCAGTGATGCATATTAATAAGTCGGAAAGGCAGCATCCCAGTTTGGTCGTCCAGGCCCATTTAAACACATCACCCTATTAGGATAGACACAGCATTCCTGCAGGGGGACTAGCAGTCAGACAATAAAGTAAGGAAGGGCAGCTGTTGATCTCCATGGAGAGGCTGATGCACGACAGATGAGCAATACAGTCCCTATTTCTCCTGGATGGAAAGCCCACTTGTATAGTAAATGTATTGTTTTAGCTAGTAGCTTAGTTCTGAACTCCATACCTTTACCATAGAGGTTCTGCTTTCAGATGCCAGTTTAAATAAATTGATTAAGACAACAGAATTTGGAGATACTGTCAGAAATAGAAGGCAGCCAGGCAGCCCGTTCCTCTGGGTGTTTGTTTGGTAAGTCATCTGACACACTTAGGAATAACTTCACTGATTCTGATGGATCTCAGTGTGTTGCAGCTGACATGGTCTGACAAAGGAATGGCTGGGCGCACTTAGTGTGGCCAGGAACCTAGAAATGTCTACTTTTGCCATTCATGTGGTTCTTTTCTTAAGAGTAGAATGATAGATACCAGATATTTTAATGGTGAACTGTTCTCGCAAAAGAAATATCTGGTTTTCCATTGCTCTTACAATAAAATCCAAACTTACAATAAAATCATAACTTATGGGCTCTGTATTGTCTAGCCTTTGCCCACCTCTCCAGCTTCACTTTGTCACTCCCACTGCCCCTCCATGCACACATCCATAAAGAAGCCCTTCTTAGAATCCCCAGGATCCTGACACATAGAATTAAACTCTCCTATATGATTTTAATCTTCCCCTTTGGTAATGTTAGCACATTTGTTTTAATGTCCATCTCATCCCCCAAATTATAACTTCGTTAAGGACAGGAGTGATGCCTTAATTATCACTGTGTATTTAGCACTTGGCACAGGGATTGGCACATAGTAGCTCCTTGGTAAATACTGATTCAAATCATGAACAAATGAGTGAATCCATGAGAAAGTGAGTAGAATTCAGTGCTGTTTTATTTTGAGAGCAAACAAAAGTGTAGAGTGACAAACCATCCTGGTTTTCCTGAAATTGAGGGGGATCCCAGAATTTGGGTCCTTCAGTTTTAAAATTGGGACAGTAATCTAGGACGAGTTGGTCATGCTAGACATATGGACCTTGATTTGCGAAGGTAGAAATGCTGAACAGGCACTTGGATTTCTGTATACACATTTTTCATGGATGTTCCTAATTATTTTTTGCCCACAGAAAAACTAAACTAATCAACTAGAAAACCAGAAAAAAAATTATTTTTCTTTCCTGAACAGCAGATATTTTTGAGGCCTTAGTTTTCTAAGTAATTGCATTCCTTCTTAGTCATTCCTTCTTAATCTCCACTGAGTAACAATATTTATGACTATCTACCTCATAGTTGATTCATCTCTGTGCTCTCATTCCATGGAAATCCAGGTTTGGAGACCCATTCTTATTTTGTCTTCAGACTGGTCTAGCTTCTAAAATATTGGCAATTACAAAAGTCATCTTCTAACAAATGCGTTAGGAAGATAACAGCTTTTGACCCTAGACCAAATAAACTATATGAATCAATAACACAAAATCATTTTTAAGCCATCTTTTTTTGCAAAAAGAAAGCAAAACAAATGATAATGCTGATTTCAAGGACTATTTCTAACTCTACATGTTCTTATAGAACAACAATAATTACCCTAAGGCATATTTCCTGAAATTAGCTAAAATATTCTTAAGCTGTCACAATAATTCATTTTAGAATACCCTTACTTTACTAGGAAAATTATTATTTGGGAGTGTTGCATAGATTTAAAATTTCTCTAGTATATCACGTATGATATATTTCCATAGCCACTTTGCTTTGGTTTGAGGAATTAGATTAGTTACATAAGTAGGGCAAAGTAATCCTGAAGCACTTTTTAAAGCTAGCATGTAGAGAAGCAAGAGGACACTTTATACAATGGAGAGACACAAAGACCTCATTCTTAGCCATCAATTAAGCCATCAAGGAGAAATTAGTATATGCAAAATTTTCCATAGTAATTCTAAAACATCATAATTAATAATTGAAAAAAATCAGTGGTAATATGATCTAATAAATTTCTAAGGAGAGTTATATTTATACTCTTCATGTTTACTATTTTAAACTCCAAATTCCATGAGATAAATAACTGTAATCTTTTACTTTTCTTTTTCAGGGCCACAATTCCAACAGATGTAAGGCTTCAAGAGTAAGATAATAGTGTGTCACTAGATTTTTTTAAAAACTGAAAATATGAAAACATGCAGATAAAAAGCATGTTCTTCAAAGAAAAGATAGAGATGAAATCATTATTTTTTATAGTACATCTTGGACAGGAAAGCAAACAGCTACTAATTATCCAGCAGTTAATCCTACTATTTGGTATAAAGCAGACTTAGGTGGAGAACATGTTGAAAACACATATGCTTGGTTTCACCCCAGAACCCCTGAATCAAAATCCCTGGAGCTGCTGCTTATGGGCACCCCTGGTTGTGCAACACTGCTCAGTATTGTAAAACCTTGGCCTCTGTGCAGATGAGAAAAAAAAACTCTGAAAAGACAGAAAACAAACAAATAAAAAAAATCAAGTTAGTAATGCATTTAAACAACCAAGTTACTACCCCATTCTTCTCTACTCAGTGGTCTTTGTCGATCACCCTGAGCAAAGACGTCTAGGATCATGAGAACTAAGAAACCTTTGTTAGATGTATAATTAAGAACCCTTTTGTGACCTTGAAGGAAGCAGCTTTAGAAATTGATGAGGGTTGACTTGCAATTGCACAGGATGAGGAATTTCAAGGGTAAGGGAGGAAATAATAGCAGTTAGAATAAACCTCTAAGCAAGATAGGAAGCAAAGAAATAAGCTCAGAAATGTATCAGGGCTGAGGGAGTTGCTGTTTTTAGAGTGATGGCAACCAAACTCAAATAATATTTGTAGAAATAAAGAAGGAAGGAAGGGCAGGCAGGCAGGGGATTTTGAAAGTTTAAAATATACTTTGGAGTCAGGCACTATCACCCACTAGCATTAGCGGTATGATTTTCAGTAATAAATTACTTCATCTCTGAGCCTCAGTTCCCTCACCTGCAAAATGAGGATTAAGACAGTCTGTACCACATAAAGTTGATATGAAGATTAAATAAAGCAATGAATATAAAATGCTTAGTCCAGTACCTGGCACATAGTAATAATTCCAATCATATTTATTACTGATGTTCCTATTGTTTTATTCTCAGGAATTAGCACAGATCTTCGACTACTCCTAAAGAAATACGAGTTGAATAAATAAGTGATGTAAACAACCAGCTCCATAAAAGTAACTGCTTCCCCTTTTGTAATAAAGGGATAATAGCCCCTAACTCAAGGGAATGTAGTGAGAATGGAGTAAAATGATACTTATAAAGCCCTCAGCACAGTTCAGAGATCTAACTGTTCACTAAATATCACATACCGTTATTACTAGAAACCCGCTATCTCCATTGTGCGACTATCATAAAGATTGTTTAAAGAGCTGCTAAGAAACCATTAGTAGCTATGTTTAGTCTGCTCTTCTCCTCTGTAATACTAATATACTCAATAACATAATATTTGACAATTCTCAGGATTATTAGAATAGTGTATGAACATTATCACATGCATACCCACACACACAAGAGCTAAATAAATGAATGTATGGAAAAATTTCTCAGGGCTGATGATTTTCAAACCTAAATATACATAGGAAGGATCTGAAGAATCCATTAAAATGTAATATGTTTGAAACCCATTTTGATAAACAATGCTTTCAATGTTCCAAAGAATACTGAAATTTAGTTGTTTGAATTTTAAAATACTTATCTCCTCAGTTTCCTCAAATTCTTTTTCGCTGTTTGGTTTCCCCAAGGGAAGTTATGTTTACGATGCTGTTTGTCCAATATATTACTATCATCGCATGAGCTAGTTCCAAGGATTGCAAATAACCTAGAAAATGTTTGAGAACCCTGCTGAATGTGTTACCAGAGGCTCTGAAAACAAAACGGGGCCACGTGGACCCCGAAGACTCTGGTCCTCGCTTTGCTGACTGAGATGCTTTTCCATGACAGTTAATTCATAATTTGAATGTTAATGAATTTTGGTACAAATTCCTGAACTTGGATAATAGATGTCAGGTTTTCTTATTTCTGTCTTCTCATGAAAATGCATTCTTGTTTCTTCTGCTCAAATCGTGATGGGAAATGTGCCTTGAAGCACTCAGAAATACATCAGAACTGAACTCAATTGACAGCTGAATCATAAACTAGTAAGAAACTGGATGTTTCACAAAAGGATCTCATTATTGTTTATCCCTACCGCATGTGTGTTGGTGCATACGTTCAGCTACCTTGATTATCCCCAAGGACTTCTCAAAATGCCTTCTCATTTAGACCAATTTCCCTTTTTGTAATGTACCCCCTAAAAATAAATGAAGCAGAAAATGGTTTTGAAATATTAACTGCTTGTTAAACTTTGTATCCTCCAGTACTTCCTGTTTTCCTCTGATGTATCTCTTCCCACCCATCAGCTGTAAATTTGGGCAACATAAACTAAGAACAGTATTTACTTCAGGACACAAGGAACAAAGAGGTCAGTTGTTAGTTTCTGAGTTTCAAAAGTAAGATAATTACCTAACTAAAAGATCTGGGAAGACATTCCTCACGATGTCCATGCACCTGACCACCTAAAACGTGAGTCAAAAAGCGAAGTTCAAAGAAAGCTTCAACCAGCCAACAACAAACCCTGCCGACTTTTGTCAATTGTCTTGCCAATGGGTTTCGTAGGAAACTCTCCAGGACTAGACAAGCAGCAGGACTGAAGTGGCCATGAAATCAGGACTGAAGATGATAAACAGGGATGAGGATGTGCCCATATATGCCAGGGAGTCGAGTACAACCATCAGGAGCAGATGCACACCCTCCATCTCTTGGCACAACATAAAGGAAATGGGGAATTCCAAATTGACTACATTTTTCTGGCTTTGCAGAAGAGAGGCTCATAACAGAAGGAGAGTTAAAGAAAATTTAAGAAAACTCCCCTTATTTTGTATAATTGAGGTTATCATTTGTTAAAATCTAAATAGCAGAACTTTTTTTAAAATTCTTTAATCAAAAGAACACATAAGCCTGCTACCCAAGAGTTTCTGAGTCTCCTCTGCTGATAGAGCTCAAGAATGATTTTAGGTAAGTGATTTTTTTGAGTTGCAGATTTTAAAAAGATGGAAAAAACGCCAGTCTTCATCTATTTCATGCCCCCTTTTAACTTGAATTAATGACTTAGCCATTGTAAATAATGTGGCAGCTTGGTGGCTGCAAAGACCAAATGTTTATATTTAGCCATAGAATAGTTTGAGTCAAACACAGAATTTCTAACTCAGGTTTTAAAATCCATACTGTAAATTTGTGTGAGTAAAAGAAGCTTAGACTTCTAGAAGATAAGATGCTTCTGATTCCAATTCTTATTCCTTTATTCACAATCTTTCTGTTTTCTCAGTAATATTCATTACGTGCATTATTTTTATTACATGCCAGGCGATGGATGGTTTGTGACTAACAAATTATTCTGCAGTAATATCACGTTTAAATGATAGTTAACATAATCCTGGGTCAGATGCAAATAATTAAATTCTCTTCCTTGCAGTCATAAGTTCCGTAAGTCACCTTCCCTGTCCACTGTCTTAATAAGGCTCAGTGGAACCCCTAGAACTATGTAGAGAACACATCTTTAAAAAAACAGTACTCTAAACTATACTTTTAAAAAAGAGAATGATATTTTCAGGTGCATAACATAATTTAGATTAGGGAAAAAAGGTGTTGCTTTGTACAGGTCCCTTGGGGAATATATAATGTTTTATGTAATGTATTCTTTAGGCAGAAGACTTTCTGTGAAGAGTTACTTTGAGCATGGCTAAGGATATCAGAAATAATCTGGTCATTTAAACAGTTTAAATATTCTGGTCACTTAAACAGTTAAATACCTCTCCCCTAATTTCTAAGCCAACCTTTTCTCCTTAGTTAAACTCAAGCCAAACATTTTCCAAACTGATAGTTGTGCTTTTACAACCCAAAGAGGCAGTTTTCCCCTCTTGTATTCAGAGCAGGACTTGCAGTTAAAACTAGATTGCGTTATAAACTGTATTTAATTCAGCTTAAATTGTCTCTCTTTCAAGTGATATCAATTAATACTTAACTAACTCTAAGGTTAGTATCCTTACAGTCTAATAATTAGACTCTACTTAGAACTCACTGATATCTCCATGGGTAAAAACCACAAAAATAGAAATATGCCTGGTTCACAGCTAATGATATAATTGGCTCAACAAAGTTACCTGCACGAATTTCCTTCAGGCAAAAGGTCGGTTGTCCTTCAGGCAGAAAGGTGAGAGAAATTTCCCTAGAGTTCAGCCACATGAACAAGAAAGTAGCCAAGGTAGGGCTAACTAGAGTTACTTGATGGATAAAACCCAGTAACTAGTGGTAGCCAGTGACTAGGGGCTTGGAGGGGGCTGTTGTTCAATAAGTATGGAGATTCAGTAGGCTGAGGGAATAAATTCTAGAGCTCTCCTGTATGACATAATGCCTATTGTGAACAATAAGGATTGTGCACTTCAAAATTTGAGAGGATAGATCTCATGAGTTTTTCTTTGCCCACAATTTTTTCCCAGATTTACTGTTATGTAATGGATATACAACATCGAGTGAGTGTAAGATGTACAATGCGATGATTAGATATACGCATGTACTGTGAAATGATTACCATAATAAGGTAAGTTAACACATCCATCACCTCACATACTTACCACTTTCTTTCTTCTTTCTTTCTTGTGGTGAAAACACTTAAGGTGTACTGTCTTAACTTTCAAGAAGACAAATTTGTTAAGTGTAGTCACCATGACGTACATTAGATCCCCAGAACTTACTCATAGAAGTTTATCCTCTTTGCCTAGCGTTGTCCTATTTTCCACACCCTCTAGCCCCTGGCCAACAGTGCATGAGGGTTCCCTTTTTTTCACATCCATGCCAACACTTTTTATCTCTTGTCTTTTTAGTGATAGCCATTCTATTACATACAATGTGCTATCTCATTGTGGTTTTGATTTGCATTTCTCTAATGAATAGGGATGCTGAGCACCTTCTCATATACCTGTTGGACATTTGTATGTTTCCTTTAGAAAAATGCCTATTCAGATCCTTTGTCCATTTTTTAATCAGATTGGGGTTTCTTTTGCTACTGGGCTGTATTAATTTCTTATACATGTTGGAAGTGTTCTTTCTGCTTCTATTTTTTGGAAGAATTTGAAAAGGATTGGTGTTAATCCTTCTTCAAACATTTGGTAGCATTCACCAGTGAAACCATTTGCTCCTGGATTTTTCTTTGTTCAGAGATTTTTTATTCTATCCCCTTACTCATTATTGGTCTGCTTTTCTGTTTCTCATGATTCGGTCTTGGTAAGTTGTATGTTTCTAGGAATTCATTCATTTCTTCAGAGTATCTAATTCATTAGTATATAACTGCTCATAGTACTCTCTTATGACCCTTAGTATTTCTGTGGTATCAGTAGTAATGTCTTCTCATTCATTCATTGTTTTCTTTATTTATCTCTTTTTTATTCATGGTTAATCTAGCTAAAGTTTTATCATTTTTGTTTATCTTTTAAAAGAAACCTATTTGTTTTGTTGATCTTTTAAATTTTTTCCCTATTCTTTATTTCATTTATCTTCACTCTAATGTTTGTTTCCTTGCTTCTGCTTAGTTTGTGCTTTTCTAGTTCCTTGAGGTCTAAATTTAGGATGTTTATTTTAGATCTTTTTTCCCATGTAGGTGTTTATAGCTATAAACTTTCTCCTTATAATTGCTTTTGCTGCATTCCATAAGTTTTGTTAAGTTGTATTTCCATTTTAATTTGTCTCAGGATGTTTTTTAGTTCTCTTTTGGTTTCTGCTTTGACCCATTGGTTGTTCAAGAGTGTGTTGTTTAATTCTACATGTTATGTGAATTTTCCAATTTTCCTCCTGCTTTTGATTTCCAGTTTCATACCATTGTGGCCAGGAGTGATAATTGATATAATTTCCATCTTTAAAAAATTTTTAAGACTTGTTTTCTGGCCTAACACATAATGTACTATAGAGAATGGTGCATATGCACTTGAGAAGAAAGTGCATTCTGCTGTTGTTAGATGTAATGTTCTGTATATGTCTGTAAGGTCCATTTGGTCTATAATGCTGTTCAAATCTGCTATTGTTCAAATTGCATGTTAAGTCTTCATACTAAATAAACAAAAACAAGGGGACACAAGAAAATTCTAGGAGGAGTTACATATATCTCTTGATTGTGGTGATGGTATCAGTGGTGTTTGTTTATGCCCAAACTTACCAAATTGTACACATTAAATATGCACTGTTCTTCTTACATGAATTATACCTCTATATAGATGTTTAAAAATAGCAACTATTCTTAATACACAGGTGACTCTCAGCACAATACAATATATCACCCACTCCTCTATTGAAAATTGAAAAATATCACCTCTGTACTCCACTCCTCATGGCAAAATACAAGCTCCGGCTAATGTCATGATGGCCACAATTTCCTTCCCTTTCCTGTTTCTCACTTTGCTCTTCCCAGCACTGCCATTTCCCAAAATTCTTCTCTCAGGAAAAACCACTTTGATTCATGGCTACCGAAAGCTCCCCCACAGCAACATGTGCATTTTTACTGTTGCTTTCATTTAAACCAATCTGTCTCCTTCTGTTAAAGTTCACTAGCAATTTATAATTTGATTCACAGTCACAGCCATACTGGTTCTCTCAAGGACTTTGCCCTTTTCTTCCTTCTGAATCCTTCAAAGTATAATTTGACTACACAGAAAAAAAAATCCCTGTTGAAATAGACAAAAAGAACAGTGGTTTTTCAAGTTCACAAATCATGACAAATCCCAAATTGACTGAGGGCAGCCTATGAGGCTGTAACATTTGCGTGAGAAAACAAGGCCATCCGGTAAGCCCCAAGCCAATCAGTGATGCCCAAGGTCCAGCAGACTTGGGTGGATTTATCCCTAAAGTAGGAAAATAAGTTCAAGAGCACCTATGAGAAGAGACATTGCCCCTCCAAAGAGCTTGAAAGGTAGAGGGAGCTGAATGACACTGATTAACGTGGAACTGTCAGAGCTGCAATTTGTAGGACCTGAATTAACGTGCTCTTCAGTTCTCTCCCATTTGTTTTTTCAAATTCAAACCCCTTTCCAGTCACTGACAAACCAAGCCTTTGGATACAACGGAATGTCATAGCTGTACAGTGACTACTGAGAAATGTCATCTTCTACAATAAGTAAAATTTCATACATGCCACCTAATCCAACTTCGTGGTTTATTCTTTACTGATTGTGAGAAACACACTCTTCTGAATTAAAAGAAACTAGTTTAATATAAGTATGGATTCATTGGTGAATGCCAATATTTCACAGTCATGGAGACTCAGTTATTTGAAACCGTGTTGTTTTTAGGATAGCTGAAAGTTTATTGCTTTAAGCTCAAATACTGGGTTTTAATCATTTAGCATATAAGTATTTTTGAAATAGATCATACACTTCCTTGTCTTCTTAAAATGAGACCTCTGAATGGAAGTTAACCATTTCGCACTGCCTTAGAGTATTAACTATGGATACTCTATGAAGTTATTATACTTCATGCAGTGTGATTTGGGCTCCTATAGGCTATGGATACATATTTAAAAGGTTATCTGGCCTAGATGGTTTGAGGTTTGTTTTAGTAGTTTCCCTACATCCTGACAATTACCACTACTTAGTTCACTAACCTTTAGAAAGTTCTCTAACTTCTACTTTGCTGGCTCTAATGTAGGGTGGATTTAGAAACAACCCACATTTATTGCTATTTCAGTTAAAACAAGATGAAGATGTACTGAATGCAGATAAGGGATACTGTACTATTAGTGAAATTCATCAACTTTATTGGACACTCTCAACTCTCTTTGGGCTGCTTCTAAGGCCTTTTGCTTAATTACAAGTCCCTGACTGCGTTCAACATAAGTGGTATTTCTAGTTTGGTAAAATGTTACTCTATTTTCATTCATCTTGGTATATTTCAAAAATTAGTTCTTTGGTTATTTTTGCTTTTGTCATTCCAAGTAACTCTCTGACCTACTAATAAAAAAATACCAAGAAATTTGATTTTTGTCTATATAAGCATAATTGCTTGCATTTGAAACAAAGTAGATAATTCTTATGGGATATGAATGTTTAGGAAATGACTTATGCACAGGCCTTTTTTCCCTCCATTACGTTTGATCTAATCAAGAGTCATTGATCTCAATTAAGAAAATGCATTTTGCAGGCAACTGCTTTTGCTATTTCTGAGCTAGTTCTTTTTATATACTTTTTCCTTACTTTACTCTCAATGGAAAATACTGTATAAATCTAGTATTTTTAATTATTATTTTTTCTATCCACAATATTATTGTAAAATCGGATTAAATATAGGACTTGTTATATCAATATTTTTACATGATTTCTCTCAAACTGCAAGATTGAATACCTAAATGATGCAAAACAGAATTAACATTTTTCTTTCATTTTTTTTCTTTCTTAGGGACATAAAGATAACCTTTAAATGAAGATTAAAATGAAGACGTAACAGACTTTTCTATATTTAACTGTCCAAGAGCTAGAATGATGATGATATTGATTTTCATTCCATATCAGATTATAAACTTCCCTTTTTTCACAATGGCCACTGCTTTTATACCCATGTGTATATACGGGTATGTGTATTGCATTGGGGGTGTGAGGTTAGAGATTGGATGGGATTTCTGCTAACAGTAGGTAGTATATAGCTATTTTTAGTGGTAGAGCATTTTTTAGGAAAGAGTAGGTTTTGGAGACAGACAAATCTGGACTCCTGTATCCACCGTCCCACATATAAGCTGTGGAACGATGGACATGTTACATGACCTTTCTAAATCTCACTTTGGATTAACTGTGAAATAACGATAATAATACACAGTTTGAAGGATTTGGGGGAAAGATGAGAACAGATATGTCACAGAAAAAGCCCTAGATAAATAGTAACTATTATGGTCCTCATCATTGTTGTATGTAACTGGGAATCAGACAAAACTCAAGTCAAAAGTCAGCTGTTCTTCTTACTACCTATGTGATATGGGTCACTTATGAGGCTAAGTTTCATCATCTTTAAAAAGATTATACTTCTCAGTGTCATTAAGATTAAATGAGATAATGCATGAAGAATGTCCATTATGGTGCCTGGCTCTGGTATGGCTTTCTCAAAGAATTTTCTTTTCTACTGTCCTTTAAAGATCAGATGAGGGAGTGATTAAGAATGTCGTTCTAACCAAGTCTTTATTATCATTGCATGTCTTGCAGTGAACATTCATGGAGCCTGTTTTTTTCTGTCTTACTAGGAAAATAAAGATGTATGGAGTAGTAGGAGAACATAAAAATGTGTAAGGTACACACACTTAGGGATTTACTTACATCATCACCTAGAAATCTTTGATGACATAAAACATGTGGAAAGCAGCGCTTTGCATGTTTCTAAGTCGCAGTGTTTCATTCAAAATTTTTTTCAAATTATAATGAGTTATAAGAATATATTCAGAGCATGTTTCTACCATCATGTCTTCAGCCCTAGGCAACTCTTCTGATACACAACAGAATTTGGTGAGAAACCAAAAGACATAACACTGCCCAGCATGGGTTTAAGGTGTTAAGTTCAAATAATCTCATTTTTCAACCAGGAAGATTTATATCTCATAAAGTTTAATGTTATGTTATTAAGGGGTGGTTTATGAATAGGACATCCATGAAATGATTACAAATTCAACAGGTACAAAAGCATACATTGTGAAAGTGATTCTTCTCATTACCTCCCTCTCTCCCCAAAAAATATAATATTTTCCTGTGTAGCCTTAGGAGGGAAGTTTAAAAAGTTGATTTTTATTCCTCCTATTTCTCTGTTTTCTCTATTATTTCCCAACATGAGTATGCAATAACCAGTCAAAAAGAGTTGTGCACCTTGCCCAAGGTGAAGAGGCAGGGAGGTGGTAGATGCTATTGCATCAATAGCATTTACCATCATTACATTTATATCAAATGATAAAATCAACAAAGAACCTTTTTTAGTGTTCCAGTCTTTCAATGCATCAGAGATTTCTCCAGTGAGATCCTCAAGAAATTAAAGTGAACTCTGTAGCTGTGTTATATGGTGCTCTTAGATAGTTCAAAATAAACAAGTCACAGTAGCAAATATGCCCCAGAAAACAGACGTTCTCCCAGAGAAGACATTCATCTTGACCTCTCAATCATTCTTGTGTGCATTAGTTTAAAAAGAGTTTGATTTTTCTCTCCATAAATTCATTTGAAGGTCGCTGGTTAACTGCTGTTTGTTCTCAAAAACTGGATGTCAGTCATGCTTTTTAAAAATTAGACATTATCCAAGAGAATAGTAGGAAACGAATTGTCTCCTGCAACCATTTTCCATTCTGAAGCTATTTCATTGCTGTAAGCTGTGTAGCAGAATTAAGGTTTCGGTCTCTGACAATGGAGGGTTCAAGAAATTGATGGGATGCGGCTCAGAGACAGGACTGCTTGTGCAAAAAATTGTTTGATGTCTCAGTGCAGCTGCTCAGCACCACCGTCCCTACCATGCAAGTGAGGGTGAACATATAGGTAAGGGAGAGTCTGTCTTGCTCCAGGCTCAGCCTGTGGTTTTCATGCTTTGTCTTCCCTGGCTAGCCCAGAGATTTTCAGGACACTAAATATGAAAAGGACATATGTAAGCTTCCAAATACATATACTTTTCATTCACCTAACAAAATGTCTTAAGCAGATCGACAGTCCAAGGCAAGTGTTTTTGTTTTACACGACATGAGAAGTCACTCTGCATAAAGCCCTTCTGAGCACACTCAAGTTTGGCATTGTCTCAAGTGAAGAAGGATGCAAAGCAGCTTCATTTTCCCAGTGACCTTTCCCATTTCGAAAAAGCAACATCTGGCTGTGCCTACAATAGCAGAGTCCTAATTAGTCTATGAAGTGGTTTTCTGCAGATTGCTCATTAAAAACAATTATTCGTTTTTGTTTCGTTCTTTTGGATGATTTGGAACCACAAATCCAGTAATATAACAGGTTATTTTTGCCTTCAAATAAAGGAGCTTTAGTAACATTGTAAAACTTTATATTGACTATACAAGTTATGTTCACTGATCACATATTTATGATGTTTTTGTTTCCTGAGAAATGAACTGGCTTAAATACACGGTTAACCCTTGAGCAGTGTGGGGTTAGCAGTGCCCACCCTACTCCTGCACGGTTGCAAACCCACATACAACTTCTGACTGACCAAAAACTTAACTACCAACAGCCTACTGTTCACTGGAAGCCTTATCCATAACAAACAATTAACAAATATTTTCTATGTTGTTTGCTCTCTACGTTACAATAATGTAGAGAAAAGAAAATGTTTCTCCAAATTGTCACAGATCTCGACAAATTCTTCCAATATATTTATGGATAAAAATCTGCATATAAGTGGACCCTCGCAGTTCAAACCCATGTTGTTCAAGGGTCAGTTGTATGTGCAGTGGTGTGCTGGAGCCAGGCCTTAGTGTCTCATGAGACCTGGTTGTTACTAATTTTCCCAAATCTACATTCCATGTCACATTGATAGCTTAAAATTGGTCATGTTGGGAATATTTGCCCCACAAAAATCAGCAAATGACACAAATCAGGACTTACCCATCCAAACCCCAAGCCAGTCATTACACGTTTACTAGCACATCATCTATCACTACCTTTACAAATTTGGGATACGATGGCAAATTGAAATCCACTAGATATTGATTATTTACCAGTTTGGATTGAGCCTTCCAGTGTATCTCCTAGGGATCTCCAAGGCCCAGATCTGAGGTGTTACTGTGTATAGAAGGAAGTTAATCTCCAGCCTTCTGCAGCACTCAAGCTGCTATTTTCATTTTCAACATAATACACTCTGATATCAGTATTGTGAAAATATTTGGCTGACGTAAATGTGATCTGAGTGGTAACAGTCTTTATTTGCTGTTTCCCACAGCAGCATATCATCATAATAAGTAATGTGCATGTTACCACATTATTTATGTTCAACTGTGTATAACAACTGCAGCAAACAGAGTTCGCAAATATCAGTTACAATTCAGAGAAAGAATAAGGAAGAACAGCAGTCTCTGAGCAGGAGGAAAGGTACAGAAAGAACACAGAAGAACTGCTTGACATTAGCCAGTATTTTCTAAACTGCTAATTAGTTGTCCGTGATTGGGAGGGATGCGGACTCTGCCAAACAAGAACACTTTAGCCTTTAGAAAAAGCTGAACTCTTGAGTCATTGAAATAGTAAAGGAATTTACTAATCAAAGAAGACAGTGATGATTTAGATGGTTTAAACATGGAATAATTTCTAAAACTCCTACTCAGTTACTATTCAGCATAGATGATGAAGGCCCATGAAGTGATTTGCAAAGAAGCAAATATCACAAGTTTGATTAAAATTGAGGATGAAAACCTCAGAAAGCCAAAAGAAACAATAAAGAAAATCTGAACAGGGTATAATAGTTCTTAACTTCTGTGAATGCCAAGAATTAAGTCTGAAGTAATTTTCTCCCAGAAAACGAACACCAAAAAACACTAGTTGTTTTGTATTTGGGGAGTTCATTAAGACAGACTGTTAACAAGGTAAATTGGCAGTAATTCAACTTAATGATGCTATTCCTCAACTGTACTGAAGCACATATAAAACTCACTTAAGACAATAAAACATCATATTATAAGTTATACAAAAGACAAAGTGAAAAATTCAGTCAGTCGGTTACATGGTCCGGTTGAATAAAATAACCACATTTTTTAATTGAGCTAAAAAACTGAAATGATATTAAACCAATCTGTGAATTTGGGTGTGCCAAGTTAGTGACTTGCATGTACTCTATGGGGACAAGTACTATTACTTATTAAGCTGTATGCCAAGTAGTGTGTGCTTAACATTCATTATATCATGTGGTCTTCATAAGAAATATAACACCTGAGGCATGGTTCCCATTTTACAAGTAGGGAAATTGAGACCCAAAGGGGTTAAGGAAGTTATTCAAGATCACACAGCTGGCAAAGGTATATGAGCTTACTTTTGTCTGACTGCGAACTATAGCTCTTTCAAGTTTACCAATTACTGAGCCCTTTTAATTATAGCCCATTTTTCATTAAGGCATTCATATAAGCAGGAAAAAGCCCCACAAATTAAGATAGCTCTTTTAAAGCTCAAAAAACTGCATAGTAAAATCAAACTATGACTTGCATTTGTGAGAATAGAGTCCCAGTTTTATATAAGACTAAATGAGATTGATATTGTTCCTTGACCTAAGTGTAGGGATTATTAGGTCTCTTTTTATCTCTCCAGTCCCCTTCCTTTTAGGGCTCAACCCCCAATACATGCAGTCTCTATGTGATGCTATGTCTTTCCTGCCCCTTAATTTGGGAACCAAAGTGGAACATTGTCACTCTTTTCATTTCCTGGCAGTGGCTTCATGTTCATGGTAAGAGAGGACCAACAGGACATTTCCATCTAAGACTTCAAATGTGGAATAAACAAGACAAAGATGGAAGCTCAATTCAGACCCTTTCGTGATGAATGCTGGGGTGTCCCATTGGGAGTAGCAGTAATGACCAAGAAGGGGAGGTGACAGCAGATGTGCTGCCCATTTATTGTCTCTTCCAGAAATGCCTTTTCCCAAAATTCTATGAGCTCCCAATGGTTTCCTTATTTTTTATTCAGCAAGAATCACCTTCTGTTGTTTGCAGTAAACAAACATGTCAGACATATTACCCTTGACTACAAAAGTGGGTCTTCGATGACTATGATATTCACCAAAAAAGTCAATGTTATCCTTCCCGGTTTCTAATTATGTTCATATACAAACGGCATGTGACTAGAATAATTTAAAAGATAGTTCCTAAATGAGGTTCCCAAGTTGTCAAAGTATAAAGAACTCTTTTTCAGAGATTATAGCCTGGAAGCCATCAGTGCTGACCAAAAAAACACAAATTAATGCTGTGTAGGTTTGAAAAGCAGAAACCTTATGAGGGAGATACTTTGATACTCTGTCTAGCATATGATTTAGCAAGCCCACTCCTAGGTGTACCCCTGAAGAAACAGGAATCAATAATTTTTACATACCCATGTTCACTGCAACATTATTCACAATAGCCAAGATATGGTAATAACCTAAATGTCCTTCAACACATCAATGGATAAAGAAAATATGAATATATACATATAATGGAATATTATTCAGCCAGACATAATAAAGTAAATCCTGCCATTTGTGACAACATGGATGAACCTGGAGAGCATTAAGCTAAGTGAAATAAGTCAAACACAGAAAGATGAATACTGTATAAAATCACTTATATATGGAATCCCCCCCACAACATAAAAGCTGGTTTCATAGGAACGGAATAGAAAGGTAATTGCCAGGAGCTGGGCAGAGAAGAAAATGAGGAGATGTAGGTCAAAGGGTACAAGTTTATAGTTATAAGACTAAGTTCTGAGGTTCTAATGCATAGCATGGTGACTATGTTAAGAATACAATATTATAGACTTGAAGATTGCTGAGTTTAGGTCTTAAGCATTCTCATCACACACACAAAAAAGAGTTAACTGTGTAAGGTGATAGATGTGTTAGTTATCTTTCAATCTTAGTGATCTTAGTAATTATTCCAAAATGTATATGCATGTGAAACTATCACAGTGTGCACTTTAACTATATATATTTATTTCTGTCAGTTATTCCTCAGTAAGGTTTTTCAAAGTTATAGAACTTTTACAAAATATAATTTGTTATCAATAGTAAGATAACTTGGATTGTGTGCAGACTATAATGCTTTAGAATTTTTTTTAAATAAAAATCTATTAACCAGAAGAGAGAAAGAAGACATGCAAAGAAAATAAAGCACTCTCAACATACTCTATATTTGAGATACTAAATTACCTGACTTCATGCACAGGAAATTTTGAATCTTAGTACAATAACAATGAAGTTTCATTCAAGTGTTCAATGTCATTCATATAATAACTACAAGTAAAAATAGTGCAGAGTTTATAAAATGGCAGTGCTTACTGTAGGCAAAAACCCATGGCTGACAGCCAATAGATGGTCTGTCAAAGTGAAACTGATGAAAAAGTCCCCAGTTATATTACTTGAAAACAACATTTCTGACAAATCAGCTTCTTAATATCAGAAGGCACTTGTATTAACTGGTCTAACTCTGCATCATACTCCATAGTCTTTCTTTAAAAAAAAAGAAACTCATTCATAATTCCCTCAATTTCTTTTGCTTAGGAAAGATCAATTCAAAATTTAACATTTATCAGATGCACATAAACACATATGTAGCAGGCAGCTACTGAAACTGAGACAGATGTATCAAGCAGAGTGAGAAAAAGCTCGAGTTTCACCCATACCAAATAGGGAAATATGTCTGAATCCTCTCCTAGTTCTCTTTCTGGATCTTACCACCAGCCTGTGGGAGGCAGCCCGCAAAAGCGAAGCCTGGGAAAGCAAGAACCATTTGCTTCCAGGCCTGCCATAGAGTTGGTATAGACCACCATTCATGGGCTCCTTGCCCTGGGTCCCCCATCCTGGTCCTACTAGGTTGTCCTGGCACATGGGGGATGTGGTAGGAAAAAAGGAACAGGTGGGCCCAGAGGGAAATTCCATGCACAGACATGAATAGATAACTGAACAGTGTTAAGCAACACAGACAAAATTAGGGCTTCCAATAAAAGAAAAAACAAATTGGAGCTAAGCTGCTAGATAGTGTAGGGAGGAAGAATGCAAGCTTACCAACCAGTAGGTCTAGATTTCCACAGTTCTCTCCTCTGTAAAATGGAGATGATAGCATCGACCTCATAGAGTTGGTATTAACACTAAATTATAGACATAAATCACTTAGAACAATGTTTGGCTCCTAGTAAGAAGAACTCATGAGTGACTATAACCACTGCACCTCAGTTTCCCTTTCTCTAAAGTGATACAGACTAACAGCACCTACCTCTTAGGCCTGTTAGGAGTATTAAATGAGATGATGTGCATAAAGCACTGAGCAGTCTGCCTGGCAATAGTAAATGTTGAGTAAATATCTGTTATTATTATTATGAATGATAATACCTTTTCTTCTCCCAGTGCTGTCCTATCGCCAAGCACAGTTCCTATCTTTCTTAACCGAAGTGAGAACTCCTCATCCTTTCATTGGCCCACCACTGGTAGAGGTTGGAGCAGAGAAAATCTTGAGGTTTCCCAATGGGTTAGGGTGCATAGTCAACTCTAGTTTAAGATCTTCTCTTCAGCTCTTCAGTCCTGTTAATTGCCAATTGTCATCAGAATAAATGACCTTCATTGTATAGACAGGGGCACAAAAGAGGGGGACAAGCCAGGCAGGCTATGAATAAAGGATTATTCTTGTTTCTAATATAAATTTGCATCCATAACTTCTGAAGTTTCCATTCAAGAGCCTCACAATTGAGACTTTCACATGTTTTTTTTAAATACCTTAAATCTGAAACTCATGCCAAGATGGCAGAGTTGATAACATTACTTCAAAGGGAAATTATTTTATGAAGTAGTAGGGAAAAAGAAAACTATCTAGTGGTAGCTGAAACATTTCACACTTTTGATGTCCAGCAAGCAAGCAAAGACTGGATCTGTAAAATATATATATTATTGGCATTTGATCCTAGAGGTGAAATTCATCAGTTTCCATTAACTTTTAAGAGTACCTTCATCCATTTCTTCCAAAAATTTCCTGCTAGGAAGAGTAAGGGGCCAGAAAATACAGGCATATTCATGAGAAGGAAATCGTCAAACCTATTTGGCTGGGGTAAACAGTACAGGGTAGGACTTAGCAAAACATAAGGCAGGAAAGGAAGCCTGGAGTTCAATCGAGGGCCTTGAACACCATGCTATGGAGGCTGAGCTTCCAAATATTTTGAACAGGCATATTAAGCAAAGTGTATATTAAATGTATGATTTGATTATGTTTTGAAGTATATAACTGTAAATATGACTGAAGAAAATGAAAAGGAGATGTAGGACATTGTTCAGATTCATTGCGTAGGTTGATGGACATTATAAAGTACTATAAAGTCTGATTTGTTTTACCAGTAAGTCAAGCATTTCATTACACTTCATATCTTAAAACCGACAGACGTTTGGCCTGAGAAAGGTGTCACACATGTATATTCTGAACTGTTTCACCCAGTTTATCCCAAAGTTACTCATAGTTTCCCTTAGGCATGTTGTGCATGCCGCTTTTTAGAATTCTGTATTCTAGATCTGTTTTGTGCATTGTTTTCAGTCTATTATATTATTTCAAGGGCAAACACATTGTCAGAGTATTTCCTAGAATGCCCTTGAAAACATTTTGAAAATCTACAACTGCATGTTTAGAATGAAAGCTTGAAATGTAAATCTTTGAGTATCGGGACTTCTGCTAAACTTAACAGGTTTAATATTTAGAACTCTTAACCATAAGACAATATAAGCACCCATATCTAATAGCCCAGGAGACTAATTTAGAAAACAAATATTCTAAGTCCCCCTGTCCATCCCCACCCCATTCCAGGGTCATTTTTATTTACAGGTTTTAATCTGAAGAGAATATATAAAGCTAAATTGGAAAAGCCTTAAACTAGCCTTTAAAAATATGGACAGACTCTTAATTATGTCAATAGTATAAACAGAAAAGTGCTCTTAGACTAGCCATTACTTTTACTAATGCTTATAATGAACTCCTTTATAGAACCATGCCAGTAGAGCTAATGTAACTCATTAAAACTGAAGAGAACTATAATCTATTGGCTACAATCCCTTTCTCAAATACAAAGTGACCAACTTTAATTTTAATTATCCAGTAGTTTATTCAGAATTGTGCTAACTTTAAGAAAGAATGAAATAATCTGCAACTGCATGTTACCAGCAGTTTCACAGAAGATTCAGCTTATAATAGCTATTAAAAGACGGCATCATAGTAATGGTTCAGTTCCATTAGAAAATGTATAGAGTGTGTTTATGTGTGTATGTGCACATATGTGTATGTGAATTTGTGCCCTATAAGAGAGCAAAGTTTGATACACTATAGCCCTTTGGCCAAACCCAGATCATCACCTAAATTTATAAGTAAAGTTTTACATGCCTATTCATTTGTGTATTGTCTATGACCGCTTTGACAATAGGACAGCAATAGTGAATAGTTACAACAGAAACCATGTGGCCTAGAAAACCTAAAATATTTACTATCTAGCCTTTACAAAAGAGGTCTGAAACTTATATAATAAAACCAGAGAAAGAAGTCTACATACCCCTGGTTTAAAGGATCAAGCTTAAATACAGTTTACTAAAAATGTCTACTCAGTATCAAAAATATATATGTGCAAGCAAAATGAAGACATTAGGCAAGTAATGTCTCTGGCAAGAGATTGCAGTTATCATAATCCTCAACACTTACTAAAGATTCACAGGTACACCAGAGATAATATGCCCAGACTCAATGTTACATATTTAATGTCTGTTTTAGATACATAGACTAGGAGAATTCATGACTCACCTTTGTCATTTTGTGGACTGTTCTCTGGGTCTATAGGCACATGGGCTGCATCTGCATGATGCATAAAATGTTTTTTAAAGAAAAATTCAGTCAGCTGGTTATTTTTCTTATACATTAGGTGAACTTAATTTTTATTGAACTTGTAGATGAGTTTGGCATGTTTTGACAGACTACAGTGTGCCCTTGAAGAAAAGGTCAGCCGTCAGTCAACCTAAGCGTCATAGACAGTTTGAGTGACACGGAGTCAGTCTTATGTAGTAGATATAACTCACAGCTGTATTCAGAGACTGAACCTCAATTCCTGATTATGCTTCTTAGCAGTTGTGTAACCTTGAGCAAGTGGTTTGTCCTCTCTGAGATGTTTTTTTCATCTGCTGATATCTACTTCAAATGGCTGATGTAAGGATTAGATGAGACACTATCTGTATAATACATACTACAACACCTGGCACTTAGCCAACAATCATTAAAATGTAATATTCTTCCCCTTATAAATAATGTCTGTTTTTTCAGTCAATTATTCAGATACATAAAGGACTACTGAAACCTAAGTGAGGGAATTTTGACAATAATGATGACTCAAAAATAGAGACCAGACTGCTATGGTCAAACTGACATAAATATAAATCCATGGAAAGGAAGGCAGGGAACAAACATGGCTACTGGGAGGGGATATTCAAACAGACCTTTCACATTAGCAATTGCTTGCCTTATCAATGATACATAATAAAGAGTTTGTTTTTCTTCTTTTCCTTTTTTTTCTTGAAAGGGTTTACATGTCCATACATACCCTTGAGACTACCATCTTGCCCTGTGATTGGCAGAAACCCAATAGAAACTACTTTTTACATGGAGTGGGCTTAAATAGCAAGAAGAGCTATTCAGAATAATAGAGATAATTCTAGGAATTTGGTTAATGGTGGATTTTTTAAAAATTTGGCAGACACTTGAGCAATATACAATAGCAGAAATTGCAAAATTTTGAACATACTGCATAGAGTCAGAAAAACACAATAGCACTCATGTCATTATTTTGAACTTTAAAAATACCACCTGGAGCTAAAATAATTTTGAGTGAATAGAAATATCAAAATGATGAAGAGAAAAGAATCCCCAATGGTATATACTTATGGCAACATCTCTTGATGTTGAGAATTATTTCCATTTCTACAGAAGACAGAGATTAATGTATTCTTTGGTGAATCAGAAATACAAGAGAGAGGGAGTTTTCATTCACTTCATACAGTTATGTGAAGGTAACAAAACAACATTTTTGGGGACTGAATAATTTGATAATTATAAAGACAATTTCAATTGCCTGTTCACAATACATATTCACTTCATATCCATTAAGGATGAATTATACCACCCTATCAGGAGAAAAATAAAAGAATGAGGATGTTTCAGAAAGTTTCCAGCTCTTACGTGTGGCCCCTTTTATTCAAATACAATCAAGTGTATTTGTTTATAGAAGAAACAGCAAATACATGAATTAATATCTGAAAAGACATAAAAAAGGAAGGTTAAGATACAAAGCAAACTCTTTTCTGTTGGACATGGGTATCTAACACTCCATTATCAAAGGAAGATTTTACCTGGGGCATTATTTTTGCAATACTGTTTAGAAAACTTTAAATGTGTCTATACAATTGATGTTTTCACAAATTAGATGCTTAGAGCCATAAATCTATTTTTGTATGAGAAAGATGAAATGTCTGTCCCAAATTAAAATCATGCTTACAATTCTATTGTTGAACATTTGGACTACTCTCCTTTCCCTTGCTTCTTGTTCAAAACATACCTATGCAGAACCTTTTAATGAAGCAATTTACTTACTCTTCTGGCAGGTAGAGCACAAATGGTTGGAGTACAGACTTTGTAGTCAGATGAGCCAAGGTGTAAATCCTCTTTTGTCTCTGGCCTATGCGACCTTGGTCAAGTTCCTTTCTAAAACATGGTATCTTCCTCTGTGAAATAGGGATAATAACAGATGTCTATGTCATGGGTGCCTGTGAAGATTTACAAATACATTTATGCTTAATTAATAATTAATTAATTAATACGTTCAATTAATTAACATGCCTAATTAAGTAATATGCTTGAATAATTAATTAATATGCTTAATTAATATGTAATAGATATTAATGTTTACATTAAAATGATACATGATTTATTGTTATAATATATGATGCATTATTTATATATTATATATGAATACAAAAACTATATATAAAGTTAACTAACACTTGATGTGTGTTCCTCTTTGTGCACACATAGTATTTGACTAGGATTTAGCAAATCCTAAATTGTATGGGATGCCCAGAAAAATTGAATTTCAGTTAAACAAGGAATTATTTGTCATCCTGTATTTTATCTGGTAACTGTAACTAGGATGCTTTATTGAGCTAGAGGGCTTTCAGATATCCCCACAGATAACAGTTAGTTGCCAACAAATTTACTTTAATTTTGTAAGTTAAATTAGGGTAACAGCCAGTTTAGTGAATGGCCTGGAATAGTCCCAGCCCAACTCTGATCAATCTGTTTCTCCACCTCTTGGTGACATGTCTTTCAGATCTCATAGCTCTCTGGTCACATATAAAAACTATCTAATCTTCAGACATTGGGTTCTATTTCAGATGGCTCAAATCTACTCTAAAACATCCCCCTGACCAAAGAAGAACTCACACATCAGTGTCATGCCAAGATATTTGATGCTCCACGTCGAAAACTTTTACTTGACTGTATTCATGCATGAGACTTCAAAATTTAGGGAACATTGGTCATGCTCTTCCAACAGTTTTTTGACCAAATGACACCTGGGTGACACACTGTGAGAAAGAGTTTCTGATTCCCAGCGAGCTTTCAGATGAAGGAGACAGTAAGCCGACTTTCTTACAGACACCCCTAATCTCAGGAGCCATCTTACCAGGTTTGAGAAGAGGAGAGCAAAAGAGTCAAAGCCCATCTATTTCTGCAAATTCATTTTTAAAAATTTCTTTTTAAATTTATTGTCTTCTCTGAAGTAAACTAGAGGCAGATGATGATGATGGCTGGACTTTTTTTTTCTTTTAGCAACTCCTACATGGATGTGTCTAACATCTTTCTTTAGAATGTGTAGATGCTATTATACATCATTCTCAGCTTTAGTTTCAGCCAAAACCTGAGACAAAAGAGAAAATCTCATTTAACATCTCAATATATTATTTCACATTGACTAATATAATTAATTTAACTACAGAATGCCAGGCTTTTTCCACTTCATTAATAAGCATCATATATGATGTTTATTGACAACTTAAAAACTGTTTTCAACATAAATGTAAACTGCAATCATTTAATCTCAGTGAAACTATCATTTAAAAATGAGCCACTCTGTTTTGATATTACATGATCTATGATCTTCTGATTTGGAACTCCACAGGACAATTTGTAATCACTGGGATTGATCCATTATTTCCTTTCTTGACACTCAACTTAATCTCTAAATTCTTGGTCTGCAAAGTCCTTAATTAAGGGTTAACACAGACCTACCTTAGTTTCATTCTTTTTACCATATTTATTGCTTATCAGTTCTGCCATTTTCATTCCTTTATTCATGATTTTTTTTAATTTTTATGGTTAAGAATTCTACTTAAAAGTCTTAAAATGTTTCAATCATCCCAATATTAGGCACCTATCCTAAGAAAATACTCTTGAATATAGAATACAAGTTTTATGTGCAAAGATAGCCACTGTGACACTATTTGAAATGCAAAACTAACCTTTAAAATTGTCTACAGTTAGAGAATTAGTCAAGTAAATCATGACACATATACTGAATATATTGTATGACTATTATAAATGATATTTATAAAGAATTTGAGAATGTAGGAAAATTTATTTTATTTTATATTGTGAAAAAGTTAAATATAAATCTATATGCTCTATGAGCATTACATGTTAAATTCTTAAAATAATAATATAAGACCAGTAAGAAATATACCATCTAAGTGAAAGTTGGGTTTGGGTGATAGACTAGGGGTGATGTTTTTTCCTTCTCAACATTCCAATTTCTCCTACTAAATTTTCTGTAATGAGTATATATTCCAATAATAGAATAGGAAAAAATAATTTCATATCAAAATCACTCTATTAGCTGATGACTAAAATTTAAGCTTTACTACCAGCTCTTTTGGTGCCGTGCAGATATGGCTATAATGTACCCAAAGATCAGGGGCTGCTTTGTGGCTTCATTCTAACAAAAATTAATTTTTAATCTTTTGTATACCATTTTGAACTGTTTTTTCCTTTAGAAAAGATAATTGTCACCAGTGTGTTATGACCATTATTACTGCATAATAGCCAACATACAGTGCCAATTATCATCATCAGCTACTCTGTATTAAGGAGTTTCTCAACTAGACTACTGAAATTGCCTTCTAACTGGCCACCCAGCTTCTACCTTCGCCACATAACAGTCTATTCTCAATGAGTATCCAGGCTGTGATGCTGCAACTTGTTTTAAAACATGGAAGAGCATGTCAACCCTCTTCTTCAAAACCCCTTAGTGACTTACTATCTCAGAGCAAAAGCCAAAGTGTCTACAGGGGACTATGAGACGCTTTATGACCGGATCCCATTACGTCTCCAGCTTCACCTCCTATCATCCTCTCTCCAGCAAGGTCAGTCAGCTTTAGCCACGGTGCCCTTCTTTAACTTCCGGAAATCTTTAAACACGTTCTTGCCTCAGTGTCTTTACACTTGCTCTTTGTCTGCCTGCTATGCTTCGCCCACTGCACATGGCTGGATCCTTCATTTCCTTTAGGTCTCTGTGCACTTATCAAAGCCAAACATCCATATGAAATAGGACCCCCTACCACCTCAGACCTGGTCCTTTCGATCTTCACCTCTTCCCTGATTTATTGGTCTATATAGAATACATCGCCCTCTGACACAATACATATTTCACTTTGTTTACTGTTGTCTTCCCCACTAGATTCTAAGTTTCACGAGGTTAATGATGTTGTTTTGTCCACTGTGGCATCCCCAGTACCTGGAATAGTACCTGGCATAGTGTCTGTGCTTGGTAGACTCTTGGTAAAGGAAAGAAGGAAGCAAGGAAGGAAGGGAAGGAAAACTTTATATAGATTACCTTCTGTAATCCCAACACCTCGAGACAGAGAGTATTATTATTCCTACACCACCATGAGAAAACAGGAGTCCAGAGAGTTAACTGCCTTACCCAAGATCACACAACCTGCAAACATCAGAGCTGAGACTGAAACCCAAGTTTGTCTGTCAGGATAATCCTTCCTCCTAACCTCCGCGCTTCACCAGCTGCATTACCCGCCGCAAAAAGGATGCCAGTATTGTATCAGCCTCAGCCAGGGTCGTGCTGTTGAGCTGAACTAGCCCTCAAAGTAGTCTTGGGAAAACTGCCATGAGGCCAGATCCAGAATCAACATTATCTGGTGTCTTTGCAGCATGTGGGAGCCTCAGCCTCCTTATCTGCAAGATGTGCTGTGTGGAAATCAGGCTCTCAGTGCCCAGGTCACTCCAGCATTGCTAGGACCCTGCTCAGCTACATGGTGGTGTGCTTGCCTTCTCCACTCACAATACACTGAAAGGGAAGCTCCTCTACTAACCTGCACACTGTAGGGTAGTTAAACCCTGGCACTTACTCCAGCTTTAAGATAACATAATGAAACAAGTGATATGTGTATGTAATCCAAACTGGACCCTCCAACTCCAAGAAGGAAGCTGTCTTAGTCTCAGTTTTCAAAAGGAAACTACCAAATTAAACTATGTAAGCACACAGAGAATAGGAAGGCAGTGTTTGCATGATTGAAGCTTTCCTTTAGTAAACAGTATTGAGCACTCACGATACAGGGGTCTGAGAGAGTAAGTCAGACGAGAGACATAATCCTTGTCCTTGAATCACTCACGGCCTGGTAGGGGGAGCACCTCATGCATGTGTGGCCGGCTTCTGTGGAATACTGGGTTGCTGTGGGCAGTATGTATACATACTATACACATGCTTGTGCAGGGTATATATATGTACAGATAATGTACACATCTGTGTATATATGGTATGCATATGTATGATATAGATACATATAGTGTGTGTGGGTATATATGTTTGCTGCATTTTTTAATGTGACTAAAACTAAGGGGAAATGATGAAACCTAAGAAATTATACCTAAATGCCTATGTATTAAAATCTCTCTCCTAAATCAGAAGAACATTCTCTTGTATCCATAATTTTACCGGGATTTAATGGCCTGTTTATTTATCCTGTAGAATTTGTCTGTGGTCTTTGGGGAAAATGGCCCCTACTATGTTGGAGACGCTCAGTGTAAACACCTTCTGCCCACCACCAAGTAGAACCTGTTTACTCTTCCTTCCCTCCAACTCAACCTGAATGGAAGCCCAGCCTTTACCAAGCTGCTGCAGTTTCTCCTTACTCCCTCATTCCTTCTTTAAAGTCTGCATAAAGGTGCCTAGCCCTGCCTGTTGCTCTTACCATAGCAGCCCTTCCCTGAAGTTCATCTGTGAGAATATCTCTAGGTTTCCCTTAAGTCTACAGTGGTGGTACCTGGGCCAGTTAGCACTGTGAAATCTACAATTAGACAAACTCATACATAGTAAACCATTAGCTTGGAATGATCAACTGCCTAATTATTTTCCCGAAGTAAATCACATGACCCATTGTTCAGACTGAGTGAATAGATGCCAGTGTTGACAAAGTTCATTTAACTTTTTGACATTGCAAAGCAAAAAGTTCTGAGTTTGCATTATTTGTAAATTGCTTTAAGACTGTGCGTGGTGAATAGACTGTTACATTTAGTAACTGTCAGAAAATATTTAGAGCCTAGACACACGGGCTGTTTCCAAATGAGACAGCAGATAGCTGATAAAAGCAAACATCTAGATGACTGAATTTTCCTACTTTTCTTCCTGATGTGTGGCAGTGTGTAAAAGATCATTTTGATAGATAACCATCAATTCTGGAACTCAGAACCCATCAAGTGCTGGCAAGAGTACTTCCCATTTCTGCTTTTGAAAGTACTGACTTTGCTGTCCTAGTAATCAATTAACTAGAGTCCACTAAAACCCTGCTTGTTCAAACTTACTCAAAATTTTCAAATGCTAATCAAATACTCTTTTTTGAGTTCTTCTCTGTTGACATGTTTGTACTGAAACACTACCAATTTTATGGCAATTGGTAAACCACAACAGTTGGTCCAACTGAACATAATGGAAAAGAGATTTTGTTTGTTTTCACGGCAGCAAAACAGTAAGATCAAATGGTCATTTTAAAGTTGTGCCTTTACAAGCAAGCAGGTTAGTTATTTTGACTGTGACAAGTATGATGTCTTAGTCACCATCTTAATCTTCAATGTCTGAAATCCTTAGAAACTGGGATTTTTCCCTGGCATGTGATTGTTGTGGTCTGATATTATGTTTAAGGCAAGATATTAAGAATTTGGCCTCAGTATGGTTACATTCCAAGAAATTTTCATTAACGTTTCATATTGTTCATATCAGTCCAGTGCCGTGTAGCACCATACTGAAGCCTGACGCAAGAGGAAAAATCACTAATAATGATCCTGTCTTAACTTAAAAGTTTGATATTTTGTTCACAGTGCAGTTTTTGCATTAATCTTGATTTTTATTAAAAATTGGATTAAAGTATTTTTTATCTTGATTACTGGGTCTTTTGGCACTCCCTTAAATTGTGTGCCAGAAGTACTCGCCTCATGCACTTCCCTCTAGTCCTGGCTCTGCACCAGTCAGTGTAAATTTGAATTCCCAACCTAGCCCGTCTGGACTCCAGAAGCACCTTCAGGGTAATAGGAACACAGTTTGATTTGTAACCACTAGATGGAGACCTTTTCATTAGGTAACCCACCCCCCCCCCCCCCCCCCCCGCCCCACCTCAACAACCCTTGAGTTAAAAAGAGAATAGTAGTCAGAAGACATTCAGATTAAAGATAAATTCTTCGTTAATTAAAGACACGCGTTAGGAAAAAAAAAAAGGTAACTAGTAAAGAAAGCTGGTATTGCCATCGCCAGTTTGAGTTGAAGAATCCTGAGTTTGACTCCCAAATCTGCCTCTTAGAACACCAGGTGTATTAACCTCCTAGAGTCTCAGTTTTCTCATCTGCAAAATGCAAACAGAGTGCCAGTCTCTTGGGGTTGCTTTATGCACATGGGTGAAATCTCTTAACAAAATGCCTGGTCATCAATCAATGTTTCCTTTCTCCTTTGCTTCTCTTATAGAAAATCTGAAGTAGAAAGAACAGTCTCGTAGAACTAGAGGAACTGCACTCAACACTATGCCCCTTCCTGTTACTGCTGTTTTAAACCAGGGTGAGAAGGACAAAGCTTCAGGAATCCCATGAAAGCTACACTCCGGGTAAGCTCAGTCCAGAGAACAGCCCCTGCTCTTTTCATTAGTCAGCCTACTTGCTATGGAAATCGACAAGTTCATTTCCATCCAATAAAAGCTTATTGAGCACCATCTATGTACCCAGGCTCTACTGGGTGTGGAGGCTATGGAAAAAAAACAAACATTTACTAGGAGCTCTCAGTATCTAAATTAGTCATGAGGCTAAATAATGTAGACATTATAACTTATGATTCAATTTTACAAATATATACGGAAATTCAACAATATGGAAGGCACTGTTTGGGGCACTGGCACACATGCCAAGACCTAGCACAGTATTGTCGTAGCAACTATAACGGGTTCCTAACCACCAAAGACTTAATAACCAGCTTGCAAAACTCCTGAAAATTCAACAATCCTTCCTCCTGCACCAGTTCAAGCAAGTTCCAGCTGTGGATAACAACTGACCTTAAGGCACTGAGGACTTCTCAAGAACTATACGCCAGAGCTACTTTCAGATTTATTTTGAATTTTTAAATGATGATTCTGAATCTTCACTATAGGACTTCCCAATACAAGGCCTTCACTCCTCTGTATTTTAACACTAAACGCTATTCCATTTTCTCAGCTAACTGACTGCATTTTGAATAGTGCATCCACAATCCTTCACTTGGAAGAGTGTTTACCTCCTGTATATCTAGCTTGTTTGTGCTGTGAAGATGGTCTACGTTCTTACTGACCCACCATCAGTAAAGAAGAGCAGGGATGGCACCATGCTGTTTTCCAGCTTCCCCTAATCTCTCCATTTCAGAAGCAAACAGAAGTCTGGATGGGCCTTTCATTTAAAGCCCTGGGGAATGTGGCTACATTTTCAGAGGCAGGGAAGAGCTGCCTCTGAATTTGTAATGCTGCTTTCCACATGCAAAGGGGACCTGGCACAAACGTCTTACAATTATGATTGAACAGTTCTCCACAAGTGAAGTACAAACTGATGAGCAATTAATTTGATGACTGGTTCTCTGGTACACCTACCATCATGCCAGCTTTTGCCAATAAACAGTTAAAGGGAGAAAACAGTCCATGCAGGCCAAATGAATGCTACAATTTAGTTACAGCCATATGGTGACTGATGATAATTTATCAGGTTCTATACACACACACACACACACACACACACACACACATTCATTTCAATTACCCCTGACAAAACTCTGCATGTTTTATAGGAATTCATGCCACCATTTTACACATAAGGAAATGGAGATGCAGAGAAACAAAATTACTCGCAAAGGTCATGCAACTAGAAAATGGAAATCAGAATTCAAATCCAGGTCTGTGATTTCAAAGTTCATGTTCTCAGAAATCTGGGTACTTTGAAAGCCCTTGGGTAAAGATGAATGATATATAGTCCTGGCCTTAAGAAGCTTATAGTCCAGCAGGCCTTTATAAACACCTCTTCCGGGCCAAGGACAACCAGGCATCCGTCAGTCAAGCAGCTAGCAACAGCACCTGGAAGAACGGCCTGAGTTGCCGCCATTCCCTACCACTCCCACCTGCAAGTTGATGCCTCTGCCTGCTTCACAGATTTGAAGGGCGAGAGTTCCTTAGGCTCAGGTGAGAAGTGTATGAGGACAAGGGTAGGGTGGTTAGGAAAATAACCAAATACTTGGAGAATAAGCCTCACAAATTCAGCCATTCAAATATATACTTTTTAAAAATAGATGATCTTCAGGGTTCCCAGACCCAATTCTAACATGGAGGGAGGTTCCACCCCACACAAAACCAGTAGTTCTGGGACACCACGAGGGAGTCCAAGAATTCAACGCAATACTGACACTGTCTATTGGGAGACAGTGTCAGATTCCAAGGGTTAAGGGCTCAGTCCTACAAAATTCCCCCTACCCCCCATGTCCGATACCCATCACAAGCCCCTGGCTGTTAGCTGTGTTTTTGCCCGACCAGCTACAGATTGGTGGTTCCAACGACCTCCTCCTTAGGTTCTATTAATTTGCTGGAGCAGCTCACAGAACTTAGGAAAACACTCACCTGTGTTTACCAGTTCATTAAAGGATATGATAAGGGATAAGAATCAACAGCTGGATGTAAGATAAAGAGAGTGAGTTCCCGAGCAGACACAGGAGCGCCTGTGCTCATGGACCTGGGGCCGGGCTCAGGGGCATGAAGAGCTCCACTTTCCCCAGCATGGACGCTCCCCCACAAAGGACTGAAATGCTGTACTCTTGAGTTTTTATGGAGGCTTCCTTACCCAGTCATGAGTGACTGAGTCACTGGCTGTTGCCTGATTCAGCCGCCAGTCCCTCTACCCTCCTGGGCAAGACTGAAAGGTACTGCCCTCTAACCACATCGTTGGTTCTCTTGGGTGACATTGAAAAGTCACCCATTTCATCATGATGACTCTGAAGCATTTTCAGGAACTGTGGATAAAGACCACACATATCTGAAAAATATATATTTGGTCATCTGAATGACCAAATATATATTTCTTATAAATCATAATATCACAGAAGAGAAATAATGTGAAGGATCCATACTGGCCATGAGGCCAGGACTCTCAACCCAAAGGTCTAGAAGTGTAAGTGAATCAGACTGAAATGCCTCAAGCAGGCTTGTAAGATAAAATAGAGGACACCCTGTAAAATCTGAAATCCCAATAAACAATGAATGGTTTTGCACAAATATGTCTCAAATGTTGCATGAGATGTACTTACACTGAAAAATACACATACTTACACTGAAGTACTTATACTTAAAAAGTACTCATTTATCTGGAATTCAAATCTAACTGGGCATCCTGTACTTTAATTCACTAAATCTGGCAACCCGAGACTCAAGGAAAAATGAGTTGATAATTAAAGAACTCTATAGTGCTCCAATCCTCATCTTTGCCCTGTCAGTGGTCTGACCTACTGTATATCAAGCTGCTGAGACACATGTATAGCTAGCACTGGCAGCTCCCAAGCAAAAAAAAAAAGAATTTTTCACTTACCATTGTCTCTACTTCTCCCCCTTTCAACCAGGCCACCTTAACACCTGGTATGCCTCACGCCTGCTTACTTTTGCAAGTTTCATCACATGTCATACCAAACATATTTAAACGTATCCACATTAATATCTTTGTCTCTAAGTATAGGAGTTGAGTTCCCCTGCAGGAGACTAGGCGAGCTAATAACAGTAAGTAAACATTCAATTAAACACTTATTCATTTCAATTTCTTGAATTTTTTTTCCTACGTTGGAACCAATATTTTTTCCAAGTCTCAACCATTTTCACAATCACCTGCAAAATACATACGGTTTCTGTCCCATACCTTGTATACTGAATGGATAGAAGGGTCTTCCTCATCTCCCTGTCTTGTCATGGCTGGCAGGGCACAGGCAGTTCAGGAATGCTTGGTTTTATGCCTACAAGTGCTCCTGGAAAAGCCAATAGACTTTGCATATTTTCAACTGAAACCTTGCCAGTGTGCTGGCCCAGGAAGCATGACCCTTAACTAGAATTAAGGAGATGGGGCCCCCTTGTCCTGGCTTAGTCATTTATGAACCCAATGACCCAGGGTTCTCCTTGAGCCTCAAGCAAAGAAAAAATAAAACAGGTAATAAAGCTCACCTTACTTCCACACGTGATTCTTCTAGGGCTCAAATGAGATCAGCTCAGCAAAAGTGCTTTGGAAACTCCAAAGTGCTTAAAGATAATTAATAACCACCCTCTGTATTATTAACAACAGACTTCCAAGGTCGGTTTATGCAAAGGGTCCTTTTGTAATAACGAAAACTCCAAGACACAAACACCCCATTTTTCTGAGCTATAAATCTGAATTTTTACACCGACTTTCCTTAAAGCAAGATCTCCCTGTTTCAACTAAAGTAATGCAGAAAGGAAGGCTCTCTCCGTCAGCAAAAACATCAGTGTCACCACGTAGGTATCTAAGTCAATCAGGAGGACATTTTGGTAGATTAGACTCATTTTGAAAGTTGTTTATGAAATGTACTTAATTGGTTTGTCTGTTTTGATTTTGTGTGTGAGTCTGTAGCTGTCCGTGAAATTATGGCAGTTTTGCAACACACCACAGGAAAAAAAAAAAAAACCAGTTGTTCAGTTCGAAGGCAAGACAGAGATTCTGTGTGTACATTGTATATAAAGCCTTCTGGCTGTGAGTATTAAACTCTGGTATAATGAAGACCTTGTATTTCTTGTATATGAGGCCAGAACTCTTCTTATACTGCCAGGGATCCGGCAGCCTCTAAAGACTGGGAGTAGCTGCTGCCAAAAATAACTGAGTATCATGAAAGCCCTTGTACTGTACAGTATGTTTGTAGAGGGAATGCATGGGAAAGACCTGCATTTGCAAATGCAATATTTACAGTCTGAGTTAACTGAGAGGTTCCTAACAGCCAGGTGTGTGTGTGTGTGTGTGTGTGTGTGTGTGTGTGTGTGTGTGTGTGTGTGTGTGTGTGTGTGTGTGTGTGTGTGTTCATCTTGATACTGTGTAGATTCCAAATCCAAATGAAATACAGTAGTTGTGTGATTTATACTGATCAATTCCATCAGAGAATTGGGACGAGTAAGAGCTTTGAAGGCCTTGCTGACTGTCAATAATGGATCCTGTTTATTAAGGATACTGGTTGATGTCAAATACATGTCATTTGGCTGTTCCTCTTCATTTTCTGCTGTGTCTTTAGGTTTGCAGGTTAGACGACTTAGAAAACATTCACAGTTTTAAATTTTCCCCATCACTGAATGTGATTTTTCTCTACGTTTTTTTTCTCCCTGAAGATCCATTTGCCATCTTGATTTTACCAAATGAGATATCAAGAAAGATATGCTAACACTTATTGAATCCTTTCTGTGTTACAAGGAATTACGAGCTGAGTGCCTTTTATGTACACTCTTTAAATCTGTCCAGGTTCCTGTGAGGCAGGGATGATCAATAAATTTATTGGTGAGACACTGAGGCTTGGGCTGCAAAACAGGTGAAGACATTCACCATTACTAATAGAAAATTCATTTTTATTTTTGCTTTTTATAGAAAAACTGCTCTTTTCCTCTCTCCTTGCACCAGATGCTGTTCCTATCCTTGAAAGCCATTATATTTTTGGAGACAGTATTAAAGGAAACGGTGAAAAAATATCTTGCCTTGCAGTCTCCCAAAGCAGCATAGAGTCTCCTCATTTGGTACTGATTTAAGTACGGTCCCAACTGAAGGCCAGAGAATGGATGAAATGACCTCCTTGGCAGATTTACAGTCCCCTTCTCCAGACCACTGAGTCACCTGCATTCTCGCAGCTCTGGCTCACTCATGCCCTCACTCAGCACTAAGGATTTGCTGAGCTTGTTGTCTGCCGATTTACTCTGGAGATGCAAAGGAGAGAATGTACAGGACAGGGACAGATCTGCTTTCCTCATCTGTAAGTGATGCAAATGATGCCTACCTCACAGGGTACTGGGATGTCCAAATGAGGAAACCTATCTGAAGTCTACTAGTTTCCTAACACGTTGAAAATACAAGCAAGGGAAGTCACTCGTTTCAATGAGGCAGCCATGAATTTAATCACAGTGACCTATTTAAAGGCCTCATCTTGATACATTTTTTTATCTTAAAAAATCTCCCTATGTTTTTTAAACAAATCCAAGATCTGACTGACTTTTTAGGGTAAATGTTGAAATGAATATCTACATAATGAATTAAAAGCTGATTTTACTCAGTTAAGCCATTACATGAGAAATTAAGATACAATAAGTTTTAATAGTGTTATAAAATTATTTTCAACATTCACTTTGGAAAGTGATACCATATTGAATCTATTAAATCTAATGACCTCTGATTTGTTTGACAAATTTGATAATCTTTCTAGAGAAAACCTGCAGTACAGATGAACCTCCGTTGCCCCTCTATCTTGTAGGATAATAATCATTACTATAATTATTTGTATTAGTAGAGTACTTACTATGTGCCAGTACTGTTCTAAGAACTCTGTTTATTACTTCATTTAATCCTCGAAACAACTTGTTCGGCATTGAACATTATCCTTATTTTCCAGATGAAAAATAAAAGGAGGTTAGGGTAAGTTAAATTAGCCAAAAGTCATTCTACCAGTAAGTAGCAAATAGACCTAAACCTTATTCTATAAGGCTACAGTGCCATCAATGAACTACTAGACTACACAGTCTTAGGCACTTAGAATTGGTGAGTGGACTTGCCCATAATTTGCAGCCCTTGCGTAAATAGGAAGTCTCTCATCTCCCAAGCAGGTCTTTGTTTTTGTCTACAAATTGAAGTAGAGAGGTTTACTAAAAATCAAATAAAATGATAGCTTCTTCCCTTTTATGGAGGAAACAAACTGAAGAGGCATGAATCTTTAAACAAAACAGCACGAGGGATATATAGTCCAAGGGATACATGCAGCCCATGGGAGAGATACAGCCAAGGGGGATATGGGGCCCATGGAGATATGGGGTCCAAAGGAGATACGTAGCCCATGGAGAGTATGTGGCCCACAGGGCATGCATGGCCAAGGCGTATATGTGGCCCAAGTGCATTAGCCAATCCAGTCCCATGTCCATGGCCAACAGTCTGTGATCATGAAATTTTTCCTACTGAATCTGGACTTACCCTTAAAATCTTTCTAAATATAGTGCCCTAAGTAAGAGCTATTGTTTATTTATTGAGCTGTTAGGTATAGGACTACAAAGTACAGGGCACTCTTCTCGGAGTTAATATGTGACATGGAACTATTTGCCTATCCCTTACCAAAAAAAACCCCCCTGAAAGTTGACATAAGCAAGACACACGTATCTAAGTAACAATGTTTTATTACAGAGTTCTAAGGAAACTTGTGCTTAATTTATGGAGCTAGAACTGAAACAACATCTCGAGTGAATTCGATTCCTTGTCTTAAGCAAGACTTGTTCTTAAGTCCTTGTTATCCCGCACAAAACCTATGAGTACTTTTTGTTTGGTCTTTCTCTGTAGGTTTCGTCCCTTTTGGATGTTGAAAAACTGTTTGTCACCAATAAGTACATGCCCCTACTTTTGTACAGGATTTGTGAGGTTTCAAAGGTAACTTCCTGGATGAAAGCTAAGCCTATAATAGGTCTGCAGGTAATTCAGGAGGTGCAGTCCATAAATGTTCCAAAACTATATTAAAATATCTAAGGAGAGGACCCATAGCTTTCCAAAGAGCCATGTAA